CCCCCCTCTCCCCAGCACGCCACTCCTCGAGCCGCGGCCCCACACCGGCCAAAGAAGAGCCCATAGGCTGCGATGGGACGACCAGCACCTCGTTAGAAAAAGGAACTTATTAAACCAATTAACCAACTAACTAAGCGGCTCGCAATGTCCATGAGTACTCATCGCGCACTCTTCCGGGCCGCCGCGAGGCTATGGGCTAGCCTCGCCGACCCGCTGCTGTGCCGGGTGGGCCGGGCCCGGGCGCGCCTAGAGGCGCCTCTACATGCTCTCCCGGCCTGGCCCGGCCCGCGCCGCGGCCGCGCCCCACCCTCCTCATGCCCCTCCAGCAGGTTCAGCGGCAGGTGCCACACGCCGCGCGGGCCGCGGCTGAGCTGGACATACCTCGCGTCCTGCGGGACACTCGCCGCACCTGCAGCAGGCTGCAGCGGCACGGGGTATCGCCACGACACTTACCATATACAGGGAGGGAGGGGGATGCAAATGCTGTTGATGGTGGAGGTGGCAAGCAGCAGCGGGGCGTCTTGGCCAATCACTTTGGACTTGAGCGTCCTAAAAAAAAGAAATGCATTCGAGAAAATAAAACGTAGTCGAATAAGGGGTCGATGACCCCGCTCCGCCCCGCTCCGCTCGCGGGCGCGATCATCATAGCCGCGCGTCCCGCGGGAGCCAACTGATAAGCGCAATGCGATTCAGATTACGGCCCGCCGCCCGACAAAATGTTGGAAACAAACAGTAAACATGGGAGCGGAGATGGGCACGCGGAAATGGGATGATGGTAGTGGTGATGGTGGATGGTAATGATGATTTTGTTTGTGCGTTATTGCACGGAATCGGTGAGAAGTGGCACCTCGGCTGTGCTACTGACATAGTACCCTTTGAAGGACGGACGGCCCGCCACCCAAGCGCACCGCTCCAAGCAAGCTCCGCAAGCTCGCACAACGCGGAGCTATACGCAGCCTCCGCCCCGTCCCGCCCCGTCCCGCCCCACCCCACCCCGGACAGGTGTCTCTGCAGCTGATGTTCGAACACGGGTGAGGCGCGCCCGCGCCACGGCGAGGTCGATTGTGGAGGTGGTGGGGAAAGGTAATTGACAAGAATACTTTGCGGAACTATTGGCGGGTCATTTCGTCACCTCACATAGAGGCCGGAACGTACGGTTCGCCAAAAAAGGCTTTCTTTCCTGTCGCTGTTAATCACCACACACCGTCTTGACGTCGTGCAGCCGTAGCCGCCGCGCCCCACCGTTATAAGCCTCCAGCCTCCCGTCACCAACCTCCAGTCTCCCGTGGCCAGCTTCCAGCCCTCGGTCGTAAGCCTTCAGCATCCAGCCACGGGCGGCGCCGTACTCTTCCCGAATGGCAGCGAAAATTTACGCGACAGCAGAAAAAGGGCCGGGTGAGGCGGCCCTTGTGCAAAAGGCGGCTAACGCTCTCAACGGCCCAAATGGTCCGCCCGGGGCCGCGGCAGAAAGGTTAGGCCACGTCGTCATCGTCACGGCCCCATGCCACTTTTAGGGGCACCTCGGTAACCAAAGTTTATCTTGTGTTTATGGAAATTTAAATAACAGGAATGTACGGAAAACTATTGATCAAGGGAAGTCCAAAAGGGCCGGTGATGGGAGCCATGACCTCACTGGTAAAACAAGTGTGCATAATTTAAACACCAACGTGTGCAACTTATGATTTCAAACATTACATGGTGTTTAACTTTTGTTGCACACTTGCGTGGCGTGCACATTTTAAACGTTCTGTAAACCTTCAAATTCTGCCCACTTGGACACACATACTTCTATGCTATCAATAGGAACCATATGGCGTGCAGCTGCTATACCTTTCGTGAGTGTCGAAGGTTTAACCTAGTTAGACATCACAATGTGTTGAGAAAATGCACACGTGAACTTAAACATCAATTTGACGTGCCAAATTGAACACTTGTTTTACCAGTGTTCGAAATCCTGATTCGCCCAGCCAACATACCGTGCGCACGTGCGGGCGGGTTGCTTACAATATCGTCTCTGACCGCTGACCGACCGCCGGCGCCCTACGGCCCAAGCGATTAGGCAACCCGCACGCACGCGTCATGAGGTCCAGTCTAATCGCTGGCCGCTGGTGGCGTTGCCGCTGGTTGCCGCGGACCCAGCCGTGCGATTCAGGAGATCGTTCAAGAGGGGCTCTCCTATGCCGGCCCTATGAGTGCAACAAAGACGGAGCTATACCGGAGGTATATAGTAGAGTCCACTCTTGAACGATCTCCTGAATCGCTTGGCAGCAGGGCAGTCACCCTGCGAGCGCAATTCTCACGTGGTCGTTAAAGAGTGTCGTGGTGGTGTTTGCACTGCGCGGGTGATGCGCGGCGTGTTCCGCGAATCCAGCGTGCGTTGTGTTGGGGTTTGGCGCGACCGCGGCGGAAGGGTCGGAGACAGTGACGCAGTCTGGGTGGTAGTCGCGTCGTATTCATGCCGTGTTTCAGCGAAAATAAAATAATTTTCGCATCTTCGAACGACCATAACAAAGTTGTTCTTTCTGCATGACGTCTTACAGCAGGCCCCTCAAACTCACAGCGCCGCCGAGCCACAGGCGAGGTATGCAACACTCCTTACGCTCTTTCGAGCGGTTGTGTGCAACTCGGATCCAATGCTCCGTCTCGGTCACTTTGGCGCGAAATCCATCAACTGCTTGAATGAAAGTCAGCTGCCTGCGGCCACCCGCCGACGCTCGAATGAGTAGTG